TGTGAATACTTGGTACTCCGCAGCTAATCCGAATCCACAATTGCGAAAGATATCTGTATCTTGATTGATAAACTAGTCTTCATAGATTCGTCTACATATAGTGTTTAGTTTAGTTTGCGAATCCCAAGTCAATAGTAGCACCAAACCCCTAAAACCCACCAAATCATTTAAATGAAATCGCTGCAATCCCAGATTATCTTTCCTTCGCTTTGATGGACTGTTTTTTATGTTATCCTATCAGAAAATGCTGATTGCTACTCTTGGCCAATAAAGCTGAAATTGGTAAAGAAGATTGCAGCCACATTTATTTCTTTTGTGTTGAACTATTTTGTATCGGTTGTTTTACCCCAATTATCCTAATTTAGCTAAATTATTTGAGTCAAGTTATTCAACTTGCAAAAACATCATCCTTAGCAAATATCCTTCATTGATTCGGCAACAGGAAATCTGGATCGAATATTCCCGTATAGAAAATTTTATTAAAATTTAGACATTGTTTGAGACTGCGATCATACCAGAGGCCACGCCATCTTAGTCTTCATACCTTCAATTGTTTGATGCTGCTTAGGTATTCAATACATTTTTTATTTTGTCATTTTCTTTTTCCTTAACCAGCATGGTACATGCCCTGTCTGTCGGAAAGATCTTAGCGGCCGAGACACCTCTTGCTTACAGCCCGATAGCGAGCAGACAAATTTCTCCGGATCTGTCTCTGACGTTGAGGCTGTGGGAGAGAACCTCTTCAGCCGAACTGCGCTTGCTGCCGCACCAACTGCTTCCTCTTCCACTTCGTCAGAGTCTGCTAGAAGTCGACTGGCTAGTTCACGTCACTTGCAGCCAGGCTCCTCGACTCGACATCGAAACTCCGGGGGTGATCATGGGAACAGTAGTAGCAGCGGTGGAACTGGTGGACCAGGAAGCGCCAGTGGATCCGGCACATCCGCTTCACATGGATGGTCAGGGCTTGGCTGAATCCTTCAAGGACTTTCTCTCATTTCTGTCTCCTCTTTATGCCTCTGTTTCTTTAATACATATTTTTAGTTCAAAATCCGTTTCATGGATTTCAGCTTTGCTCGACCTTACTTAGTCTCATTTGCATCCCTCATAACAAGATGTTTAAATCACCTCTTCCACCCTTTCCATTTGTTCATTGAGAAGCAGCACTGTTGCGATCCTTCCCTTTCTTATTAACTCTTCCTGGTATTCAGTTATGGGCTGAAAATATAAATTTTTGCATTTCTTTACTATGTAGATGCAGATATTATTCTGATCGATCTATTTCTCTCAGGCATGCTTCTTTTCTGAGTGGTTGGCCATACTATAGGACATTAATCATGTCTCATACATGATTAGGCATGGTGTTAAGCATGCATCATAGTTCTTCATTAATGCTTTTCCTTACATAGTTCACTTCTTTTCTTCCGGCTGTGCATT